ACTTTGATCCTAGGGTCTAGGATAGGTGTCCTACCTTATTCTCGAAAGGATCCTAGCCCAAGGATATCCTAACTTTGATCATAGGGTCTAGGATAGGTGTCCTACCTTATTCTCGAAAGGATCCCTAGCCCAAGGATATCCTAACTTTGATCCTAGGGTCTAGGATGGTGTCCTACCCTATTCTCGAAAGGATCCTAGCCCAAGGATATCCTAACTTTGATCCTAGGGTCTAGGATAGGTGTCCTACCTTATTCTCGAAAGGATCCTAGCCCAAGGATATCCTAACTTTGATCCTAGGGTCTAGGATAGGTGTCCTACCTTATTCTCGAAAGCATCCTGGCCAAGGATATCTAACTTTGATCCTAGGGTCTAGGATAGGTGTCCTACCTTATTCTCGAAAGGATCCTAGCCCAAGGATATCCTAACATTGATCATAGGGTCTAGGATAGGTGTCCTACCTTATTCTCGAAAGAATCCTAGCCCAAGGATATCCTAACTTTGATCCTAGGGTCTAGGATAGGTGTCCTACCTTATTCTCGAAAAGTATCCTAGCGCTAGGATATCCTAACTTAGGACAAATACTAGGATAGGTTCTGACTTGTCCTAAGTCTATCTTAGTGGAAGTCAACATAGTGTGGTTCTTGTTTGTTCACCAATTTTGACGTTGTCAAACAAAATAACTCGCCTAAATTACATATGAATTTACAACAGCACACAGTTTTGATGTGTTACGAAGAATTTTTGAGTTTATATTATCACTTTATCGGTAATGAATAGACACACTTGTTGCGATGCACATATTCTTTAGATCTACAAAAGAGATTTATTCAATTCTTACCTATCCAGGTCATGATGCATCAAATTATGTTGAGGATGAATTTCATTTTTTTTATTAATGTCCAGCATATAAAGAATGACGTGTTAGATACTTTGAAAATATACCTATGTATATTACTGAAGATGTCATGATCTATGATCTTCAAGATGATAATCCAACTCATTTACTGTCCATCTCAAATTATGTTTAAGATGCCTTGATTTTGTGCAATTCATTTGTTTGACTATTAACAACTCATAAATGTATGTCATATGTTAACTTTGTACGTGGGTCGAAGGCCTTTCTACTGAGACCGCCTCCGTGGTGTAGTGGTTAGAGCGTCCGCCCGGAGAGCGGAAGGTCGCGGGTTCGATCACCGACCGCGTCATACCAAAAGACGTTAAAATATGGTACTTCTTGGTCCCTGTCTGGCGCTCGGCATTAATGGGTACAACAAGGACTGGTCGGCTCGGAGTCAGTATAATGTGTCTGAGTGGGGTATTCATGCTTCACTGCGGCATGGTATCTCAGTGGGCTAGCACTAAAACCAGCTTCAGTCTGGGCTAGTACAAGCAGCCGCACATACACATACACACGCATGCACGTCGTCATATGAGCGAAATATTCTCAAGCACGACGTTAAACCCAATTTCACCTCACCTCACCTTTCTACTGACTAAAAGATTGATTGATTGATACTCCAGATACTGAGATAACCTCTCCCCCGGTGCTCTTTCTATGACCATGCACATGAAGGTTGGATACAGGACGATAATTCTTGAGTTCATCGGTATCCAGATTCGATTTCTTCAAGAGGTTTCACTATTGCTGATTTAAATGGAGTGGGCATGATGCCAAGTCTGAGGCTAGTGATTATCATGTTTGTGATGACAGGCACGAGAATATCAATATTTTCTAACACAAGTGGTGTAGGAATTTGGTCCCAAACACAAGATGTTGGCTTAGACTTTGGGATGAGCTTCACTATTTCGTCTTCGGTGAACTCTGTAAAGGAGTCTAACAGCGCCAATGCTTGTTGATCATACGAAGACATGCTGTCTTGATCATCTGTGGACTGCTCCAATTCTGTTAAACTAAACTATCATCCTTTCACTTGAGACTCCCCAGGCTCCAGACGTCCAATGACAATGTTTCAATTTACAGCAGTGAGTCGCGGCATAACGATATTCTTTCACTTAGCTAAAAATGCCAGTTTACCGTCTAAAAGCAAAACGGCCTTTTATAGGCAATGTCTTTGCTCACGATTCCTCAGAAGTGCATTTTGCATACTGCGAACTACATTTTCATACAAGTTGACACTTTCGAACGTAAACGTGCGTTAAAGTTTCCTGAGATGCGTTTCTGCGCTGTGCATTCGTTCCATGTACACAAAACCAGCATTATAATGATGGACATTATAACAATCAAACACTAATTTTGCAAAAAAATATTTGAAATTTCATATATCAATATCATATATGCCTTTCTCTTTCGGCAGAGTATAAATATAGCTGAAATGTAATTACGGGATTGGTCCACGTAGACTGGTAACACTGCCCCTTCTTGTCTGTATACGACCTCCATGTCCCACTCGCCGTGCACGTCAGCTTTGAACCCTGACCCAGGTAGGTGTAGTTGTCGTCACAGGTGACGTTGGCGGTGGCACCAACCATCGTGCTACTGTAGTCCACGTGGCCATTCTCAGGGGCAACAGGCTCCAGACAATGACCTTGTCAACAAAAGTATTTGTTCAAATATAGCCCTGTGAAAGTATAACACACCGCCTTCAATTCATATTTTAAGTTTCTTTGTTTTTTCACGCCATTTTCAGCAATCATTCATGTCTTTGATGGTGGCTTGTAAATGATCCTCAACCAGACAAACCGGTGATCGATATCATGAGCATCGATCCACGTCTTCCAGATATGATGCAGATCAATCAATCTAGTTATGAAAATGTAATTACAGATGATTGGACAATTAGAACTTCCTACCTTCAACCTTCGCCGACATTTTTTCGACATCTGGGGAACCTGACCCCAGGGTGTTGAGGTTCTTCAGTCTGTTCTTCAGGCTCTCGACGTCTGCTCTGCACGCTGCCAGATCCTCCCGCAGAACAACCGACGGACCCACTGATGTCCTCGCAGAAGGGGCACGTGGAAGACTGACAACCAGTTTACCTTGTGAGAGAACACTAAACATCTTCTGGACTTTCTTAGGCACAAAGTCCTCTATGTCCTGAGACGTTGCCATGGTAACCAAGACATGGCAAACTGTGAACGTGGTTATAAACTTCATCAGTGGTTTTGAGGTATTACACAATTTAATCCTATTAAAAGCAATTCCCACAATCACATGGACGGCCAAATTTATAATCCAACCTTTACTCTAAGTTGATCGATGTGAACAGAACAAACGAACGCTGTTTTAGGCTCTAAAATACATAACAGCACGTCCATTGTGTTTAAAATAATTAAGGAAGTGAATTACAAAAATAACCTTTGTTGAGAAGAAATCAACATATTCGTGACAAACGGTATACAGTCACGCAACATGTTGGCACTTTACAATAGGTACATTAAATGTTTATTGACCCACAATAATATAGGGTACATTGTAGGAACACGATAGGAATTGTTATCATAATTCCACGTAAATTGGCCTCACGAACTAATCAGAGAAAAACGATTTCCATCTTGTGTTTGTAGTTCAGAACAATGTCTGTCACATCAAAGGTATGTCATGGCGAATATTCCATTGTCTGTAATGCTTAAACTTCGCACCATTTACAGTAAAGGTGTTTTCACAAATATTTCAAATCAGTTTACACCCTAAAATATTTCATCGGGTGGTCCCCTACACAGACTTAACTATGCAATTCTAGAAAATTAATGATATTGTCACATGGTCGACAAGCAACACGTCTCAGAATTACACTACTGTGATGATTTTCGCGCTTTGAATCCAATGGCGACAGTGTGGGAATATGATATTTTTCGAGGTTAAGATATGTCGCCAAATCTAAAATGAGTAGAAATGTGCAAGAGTGTACGTTGTCGGGTGCCACACCTCCTTTCACGGTGCCAATGTAAACCATGTTTGGTCGGTGGATTAATCCGCCCATGGACAGAAACTCAATTCGTCTTTTAAAAGCCTCCCTTTACAACAGACGCATTTCTGCGCATTTGCTTCTTCTCACTTGCGTGTAATATATTTCGCAGAATTTGAAATGGTTTTACACCATGAAATAGCCTGAACTGGTGTATCGTTATAAAGATTTAACTGGGCTATTTGAATACTGGCATATTTCCGCAGTTGCTCAATAAAGGATACCATATACATTTGTACTTGATTTCTGAGAGACAAGGGGCGGTGGGGTAGCCTAGTGGTTAAAGCGTTGGCTCGTCACGCCGAGGATCCGGGTTCGATTCCCCACATGGGCACAATGCGTTGAGCCCATTTCTGGTGTCCCACGCCGTGATATTGCTGGAATATTGCTAAAAGCGGCGTAAAACTAAACTCAGTTTAGTCAGTCAGTCTGAGAGACAAAGCCAGAGTGTTCCTTCAAGGACTGCATGGACAGATCTACAACGCAATATTCTGAGGATATGGTTGGTACGAGTTTAAACAGTGAACCAAGTCACCGATTTGGTCATCATGGGGATTGCGGATGAGAGAAGGTCCTATCCCTTTGCTGGTTATGAGGCGAGCAGATGGACGGGTGGTCTGGCTGGGTGACATCACACAGACCCAAACAACCTCAACAGTTGTATGGTACATAGAGCCAGAGCCAAACTACCATCAACGTGGACTGTTCCAATTCTGTTAAACCAACATATCATCTTTTCGCTTCATCCGTTTTCCCAGCACACCGATGTCCTGATATCTTGAGTGAATATTGATTTACGCAACTTCCGACACTTTGTGGTTAATGGTCATTGGTGTCAGCGTATATAGGCTATGGGCGCGGCAATACAATCGACCATTATCGTATGTAATTACAGCAATCATTATAATTTTCTTTAATCGTACTCTTTATGCTGAATACAGGTATCGAACCACTTCATGCTTCATGTAAAGAAAACCGGAAATTTGATGTAATTGTACTGAAAGTTGTTTCATTGGTCTGAACGGTGTTTTAGACACGTTCTCCAGATCCCAGTTTGTCAACCACCAAACCGCCATGACGCCAGCTCTGTGTGTATTGCTGTATCTTGTGTCTGAGACGGGCGCTAAGTCCAGGTTCGATCCCAACAAGGTTGTAATGAAGGCACATGCGCCTGTCTATGATACGTGGAACTTCACGCTGGATGGAATGTTTGTGTCCGGCTTGCAGGAACTATCGGCATGTCGCCGGGATCTCAGGGCACTGGAGAGGGAGGCAGCGCACCTCGAGACACGTGGGCAGGCGGAAGGAGGAACTGCTGCGTCTCCAGGTTGGTGGAGTGTGTTTTCGGCGTTGGCGACATAACAGAGATATGTTTTTATCTAATACCATGTATTGTGGAGTGAGCAAGTGAAACCTATTTTGTGTCGTATCAGCAAATACTATGAAATGTTCTGTGTCCTGTACAAGAAAGCCCCAACCATCCAACATGGCTGCTTCAGCTCAAAATACTCGCGGGAGAAGTCTTTTGTTTCCTCTTTAGGTACAAAGTAGTACACGCGCTTCTGTGTGAAAAGGAAAAGTGGTCCTGTGAAGAACTGCAAAGATTAAATGAACGCTGGTTAGAATCTCATGTACGATGATGTACCTGTGCTCGTGGGAATCGACTAGGATTCCTTTGCACAAAGTGATCCGAGAGTTAAGGGTTACAAGTCCAACACATTTAAACAGCTGTATTGTTTATAACGCATTGTGAAGGTCTGTCCTTCTGGATCTTTTTCTATGTCCAGTTGTGGGTATTTTGCGTCACGCTGAAGACCGGCGTTCGATTCCCCACATGGGTAAAATGTGTGAAGCCCATTTCTGGTGTACCCCCGCCGAGATATTGCTAAAAGCGGCGTAAAACTAAACTCACTCACTCACTTTGAGGATTTTGAAAATGCTACTCATTGCTAACCCTGTTATCAAAGATGCTGATGTAAGTAAAAACGGTCAAGCCATTTCCATAAACACAACAAATGTCTGTTGAAAGTTGCGTCCGTGTATGACGATTCCAAATACTTCTATGCCTTAACGCCCGCCAACGAAACCACAGACAGGTTACGTAACTCTGTCGCCAGAGCACTGCAGTGACGTCATATGAGGAACGATTTTCAGTTAGTTGTATAGAAAATGTGTAGCACGCTCATCATTTTGGTGATTTCCTCGGACATCACGATGACATGCCGAATCGTTGCTTTGTCGTCAATTATCCCTAAGGGTCGGGCGATGGTGTCCCTGTGCACAGATTTCCACAGGACCCCGCAGTTCGTGCTAAATCGGTTATGTTTGTAGAGTGCGAAGCGAGCGTGCGTTGAAGCCTGGTCGATATCTTACTTTGTGTTCAGATCGCTTCACTGAAGTTAAAGAATCAAAACTACTTACTAGTTGTTGTAAAATATGCATATGATTGATGACCATAAAGATTTTCTTATGACACAACTTGTAACATAACGATTTCTTCCTCGGAAGTTAGGTTGTGGTCGAAGTAACAATAATATTGTAAGTAGTATTATATTGACACCCACCTCGCTGCCACGAGAGAAATTGTTATGTTATACGCTATGTCATGCAAAATCCTATTGGCCATCAATAAAATACATATTTTACTACCAGTAGAAAGTAGTTTTGATTTTGTAACTCGGTGAAAACAAACCTAAATACCATTTATCCTCAGACTGGCGGGGGGCGGTGGGGTAGCCTAATGGTTAAACCATTGGCTTGTCACGCCGAAGACCCGGGTTCGAATCCCCACATGGGCACAATGTGTGAAGCCCATTTCTGGTGTCCCCCGCCGTGATGTTGCTGGAATATTGCTAAAAGCGGCGTAAAACCAAACTCAGTCAGTCAGTCAGTCAGACTGGCGGATGTTCCCGATAGGGCGCCGCCATTTTTAAAAATAAAAAAATCGGTTAGAATTAATGAGATTATAGTTTGTTTTCATCACGTTAGATAATCAAGACTACTTTCTACTCGTAGTTAAATATGTATTGGAATCATAACCAAACGGATTTTGCATGACACAACTTATAACATAACGATTTCTTCCACGGAAGCGAGGTGGGGGTCGAAGTCACAATACTGCGCGATAAATTTCTTGCTACATTCCCATGGTTAATGTCCACTCACCAGTATGTAGATACTAGTCAATGTGCAAGCGTCTTTATATTTGGTCTTATAATCCTAATTAGTTTATTATCATACTTGTATGCATTTTGAAACTAAATTTAAAGCAGACGATCTGCTGATACTTATAGTGAATTTATAACAGAACTGTAATATCTAGACATTTTATAGTTTGCCAATGTGAATCATAATTCGTACACACACCCTAGTGCATGTTGTCTGACTCATTACACTTCACGGCGAAAACAATGATTCTGTTGAAAGCTACGACAAATGAATAAAATCAAAATGCAAATATTAAAATTAAACAGATTAAAGTTACAGGAACAATATCAGGCCATTACCTTGTTCGAGGAATGTATCCATCAATATCCACAAAACTGTTCCAAATGATGTGTCTTTTAACAGTTTAATAATATACGAAAAAAGTGATAAATCTTTTCAGGTATTGGTGTATAGTCTCATTGGTCACCCAAGATAGCACACCTGGCAACTAATTGCATAATGTCCGCCTTTCTTTAAAAACAGTGAATTTAGTTAGCCAATAATGGACAATCAATCAATGTATTGCCGGTTAATCCTTTGAAGAAGGACGTTGTTTTTACGCAGACACCGACACGACAGAGTGTATTCAGTATAGATTAGTAAATCTACATACATAAACACTACCTTTTGACAATTCCGCTGTGTAAGATAAAAGTAATTAATCAATCAGCGTGTTATCGGTTAATCCTTTGATCGATGTTTATAATGTTGAATATTTACTCCAGACACAAAGAAATGCCAAATGGGAACCTTTGTCGGGTAATCTAAGTGTGTTACCACTAATTATACCTGTTATAAATTCATTAACGGACCATCAAGTGAATGATGACAAATAACATGTGTAGGTTTATACCACCTAACACGGGTTACAACATGCAGGCGCGCCGCTCGTGTTTCTGAATTCCTATCAATAAGTGATGATACTGGTGAAACAATCACCGGGTACAGTATAAGTTATAACTGACTGCTATCGGTTTCAGAATGTCCGGAACCGCCCCCAGTGAACAACGCGATTGTGACTAGGGATGGAAACGAGGCTTGGTATTCTTGTAAAGACAACTTCCGCTTCCGAGGCATCAGCCAATCAGCTTCTTGCAGGGCGGACGGCGAGTGGAAGTTTTTCTCCAACAGTCTGGGTGTTTGTTCTCCAACAGTGTAGCAATAAATCGTCAAAGTGACTTGATAATTTTTGTATTGACACACTGATTATCACAAATAAATTATACATTATGGGATCCATGATATTCATGTATTGCTGCAGTGTACCGGAACATAAATCCTTGTTGCGTCTACCCGTGATAGTTCGGGTTAGAATATTGATCTTCAGTAACCCATGCTTGTCGTAAGAGGCGACTAACGGGATCGGGTGGTCAGGCTCGCTGACTTGGTTGACACATGTCATCGGTTCCCAATTGCGCAGATTGATGCCCATGCTGTTGATGACTGAATTGTCTGGTCCAGACACGATTATTTACAGACCGCCGCCATATAGCTGGAATATTGCTGAGTGTGGCGTAAAACTAAACTCACTCACTTCTTGTTGAGTCTGCAGCTGGTCTTCCCACTGCAAGGATCATCATCACTAGCTTCCCTCAGCGTTCGGCTGTTGATCGTAATTTGACAGCAGTCCCAACATATGAAACATTTCTCACAACCGGTACATCTTCTTTGTAGTTTTCTGTATTCAGGGCACTGTGTATACCGCCACAACTAGAGCATGATGCTAGAGCAGGAGTAGATGCATAGAACGGTCTCAGAATAGTTCTTTATGCACTTACCCACAGGTGAATATTTTACTGCCGCTTCTTTTGTTTCCTTCTTTCACACGAACCAAGTGGGGAATGTGAGTCCATACGAAGCAAGTGAGGAATGTGAGCGAGTCCATAAGAAGCAATTCATTTTAATCTCTTCAAGAGAAGTCTTTCTGTGTCAGTCGGACAACTTACCAATTAACAATCTTAAAGAAACGCTGAAATATAATGAAATGAAGGCAAACATAAAAATAATGTTTCATTTTATTTGACAAAACGTTTCAAAAGAACGGTAGTCTAAACACTGGCACTCAAAACATGGCACGAATGAAATAATTGCATCAGAAGTAAAAAATACACATATTAGCAAAACGTATTCGAAATATTCTACTGAATCGGAGGCATAATTAAGACACATTAACAAACTAGAGAAAAATACTATAAATTAACGTTTAATTCATTAAAAAACTAAGTTTATAAGCATTATGAATGTGTAGAGTGGGAGGGTTGATTAATGTAGATGTATGCAGCTTGAAAATGGCAAGTAAAAAGATGAGTATATATCATTAATGTCTACTGACAACAGGATGCTGATTGGAAATTCTCGAAGACATTCCTACCTATCGGTCAGAAACATTTTCTGTAGACCTTGTTATTGTTACTTGGCTACATTAAAGGAAGATGGTGCTACGACTACTGCGCATGTCTGTTTGTTTATTTCCGGTCCATTAACATTTCGGTGTACAGAACAAAAACACATTTGATTAAAACGATATGCTTGATCTTATGTCTGAATGCGTTTATCACCGATGCGTCCGAAAAGAACATCCTATAGTTAGTTAACAGAAAGAACCCAAAACAAAACAAAACCGAGTGATTAAGTCTGAGGTCATGTATCAGTGGAACTTTCCCGCTGACCGTGGAGGGCCATCAAACGCAGACTCCATGTTGTTTTGGTGGGAGAAACCGGCATTGTAGGTGCCGATCTGCCGGAAGTGACGTGGGAAGGAGTCGTAGCTCATGTCTTGACCCACTGAGTGTCGACGCCATATTTTCTCTGTGTCAGAGACGTCGTAGTCGTCGAAGTTGCTGTGTTGTCGTTCCAGCTGCAACTGTTCATCAGGGTACGTACTGCTGTCCCTCCGCCCCCCGACGAATGATATGTCGGAAGGGTTGTTGTCCATCTGAAACGGAAACGTATCGGGTGCAACTCTAATAATATTCATAACACTTTTATCATAACATTACAGTGTTAGATCATTATAAACTACATCACACAATTGTATAATACACTGTAGATTACCCCATGGCATTTGAAAGGTAAACCTGGCAATATATTTTGCGTTTAGGTTTCGTATGCTATGAGTTGCTACAGTGAAATGAAGAAATTAAATATGACCCAAGTTTCGTGAAATAATGCAAACCCGCATAAAGATGAACGCAGAATAGTCTGGATTATCGGAGTGGATGTCATGTAGGTAAACAGGTATAAGCTTACCGGTGTTTTCACAGTTGAAGGCTCGGCAACATAGGTGTCATTGTCGGAGGAGCTCTTCTTCCGTCGAAGTGTCGTTATGTCGTTAGATGTCATTGTTGTCAGTCGCTTCCTCTTCTTGTACCGACGGTCATATGCAGAATGTACCTACAAAAATATTCAGCTCCCTGTCAGTTCGATCTGTTGTTTTTACGGATGGCCCAACGCTGTGTGTTTGCGTGCGCGCGCGCGCGCGTGTGTGTAACCCTCCCCTCTTTTTTGAAAATGCTGCCTAACTCCGTGTTTTCCGCAATTATCTAGTTTCATATTAGCTGTCTGTAAATAATCGAGCCTGTACCACGCAATCCAGTGACTGGTATGAGCATCGTTCTCAACATATGACCGGCATGAACCAAGTCAGCGACCCTGACTACCCGATCCCGTTGGTCACCTCTTACGATCTGCTGGTGTAGCGGGAGACCAATTAGAGCCGGGGCACTGAAGGAATGGGAGGAGTCAACCATGCAGCTTCCATATGGTTATGAGGAACTATTTTGGAACTTATTCGATATTTAAGAAACCTAAAGTTCCGCTTTACCGTAAATTACTAAAAGAACACACGCGAAAATATATGTCTTGAAACACCCCGTACTTTTAATGCATCCGGACCACACCAATGATGAGGAGAGACATGTTCCTGTAATTTTAATACTATTTCAATACATGTATAGTTTGGAAAAAGAAGCTTCATTTGTTCAGGTTCCATTTTGATACTGAAATACATATCTGGATTGATTCTGTTGCGATTAATACACTGTATTCATGTCAATATAGTGCTAACAACGCTATACTTACGTCAGAGTTGAGTAGACAGTGAAATACGAAGAACACGACGCCCTGAAATATACACACATAAAATGTACAGTTTTGACATAAAGAGATCCAAAAAAGAAATATTAGAATTCTCCAAATATCTCTGAGCCAAAATAATTTGTTTGTTTTTTCACATTAATGTAACTCTATTTCAGTAGTCTTCCTGATGGAACCGCACAAAACAAGTTATGTCAGTATTCCATTCCATTCTGTCGAGTGGGGCGGCGGGGTAGCCTAGTGGTTAAAGCGTTCGCTCGTGACGCCGAAGACCCGGGTTCGATTCCCCACATGGGTACAATGTGTGAAACCCATTTCTGGTGTCACCCGCCGTGATATCGCTCAAAGCAGCGTAAAACTCAACCCACTCACTCCCTCCATTCTGTAGTACCAATAAAACATTGAGAACAGGTTCAGAATTATAGCTCTCAAATGCTTCATGTCAATGAGGCGGCCAGTGGGTAGCCATGCTTCTTCGTCATACCGAAGACCCAGGTTCGATACCCCACACGGGGACAATGTGTGAAGCGATTGCATCCCCTGCCGTGGTATCGCTGGGATATTGCTAAAAGCGGCGTAAAACCTCATGCACTCACTGTTAGTCAGTGAAGACTACTGCTATGAGATATTTACATGTCTTCATCAGAATTTAGCATGAATTTCCAAAACACCGTAGTATCCTGGCATTACCTGGAAGCTGTTGCAGATGGTGAAGAGGTATGTGAAGATGTAGCCGACCACCTCAGTACCGGGGGCGTCCACTGCCAGGAACGCTAACATCCACGTCAGCCCCAACAACGGCAACAGCACAGCGGCGGCCTTCAAGCTCATCCTGCACCAATTATTAACTTTAGTCATAAAAACGTATTATGATGATGATGAAGATGATACTGTGTAAATAAAAATGTGTGTTTCATTTCAATTGATTAAAAAAGTGGATATTTTTCAGGATGAGAGCAGCGTATTAGCCTGGCGGTGACGGTACAGAATAGCAGTAGTTGGGAGCTGAGAACTTTCAAGTGAATACATTATGACTTAACAGTATCTTATCCCGATAGAACTGGAATGTAACCTTACCAGATTCCCGACTTCTCCTCCTTGCTGGAGGCGACTTTAGCCGACGAGTGAAGGGACTTCAGCATCACCCTCAGCACCATACACAGGATCACCGTGTTGATCTACGTATGTAAACACCATGCCAATCTGTTAATTCTACTTCCGCATTCAACTGATTCTAGTGATTTCATTGACTTAGACCATGTTGTGGCTGACATATCAGTTCTCTATGTTTGAAAATGTTCATTCAGAGTCTACATCAATTGCGTCCACATTATGATCGTATTGTCAACGCGTGGATATGTGAGTCGACTGGGGAATTAGCTCATAATTAAGATGAAGTGTGCGTCGATAAAGACGAAGGCATAGTTGAGTTCAAACGTCTTTAGTACATGACAAACAAATACACAAGACATGAGCGAGGTGAGCGGAGTACCTGCTCAACCCCTGGGACGTTTCCTACGAGCGGCATTATCCTGCTCGTGGTCGTCCCAACAGACAGTCCAAATACCGAACTCGTACTCCTTCACTGTCTAGATGTGAGCATACTAAGTATATATACAGTTTTTGACAACAATGGACAGGCGACGACTCATCAATGGACAGACAGAAAAACAATGGCACTTCCTTGACCAGATGATTTGATGGCAGACACGACCAAGGGGGATTACCAATGAAGGTTATAAATGTCTTATCCAATAATTAATAGTCTGACAAGTCAATTTACAATGAGGTAGTGATAAGGATGTACAGTAGTGATTAAGAATACAGTTTAGCGCCATATATATCTTACAATAAAGTCTCACATGTGTTGACAACATAGTTTTGGACTTTTTAAATATTTGGACGATGGCTGAATTAGTCACTATAACAGTATAATAAAATCTCTCAACGGCATTGTTGACTTTAAGAGATTCTGTTAACAGATACGGTAATGACAAAAATTCGGCGACGTTAAACTCGGTATTCAATTTTTGCACCACCTATGGATACGTAATGTCATTTCAGCAAAATGAAAAACGCAAATTCGACACAGAATAATTCCAGGAATGTATCTCAGAGTCATCTGTAATTACTGGTGAAAACAGAAATTTAAACTTTCTCAATTCTGAATGAGGTGAAGCAGAATACACTCACCACGATGACGAGGCCAACGGTTGGTACAAAACACACCAGTAGCATTTCGTTGTTCAGCCAGCAGCTGGATCATAACATAGCAATATTCATATCATCGTGGAAGCGGTGGGGTGGCCTAGTGGTTAAAGCTCTCGCTCGTCACGCCGAAGACCCGGGTTCGATTCCCCACATGGGTACAATGTGTGAAACCCATTTCTGGTGTCTCTGCTGTGATATTGCTCGGATAATGCTAAAAGAAGCGTATTGTTCGGATAATGCGATAAGAAGCGTAAAACTCTCTCTCTCTCTCTGAGTATCACCGTGTACCGTGCGACCGAGAGCTGGTGATGCCTGGTGGAGGTTGTGATGCTGTTTTCACATTCCTAGCATTATTCAGCAACATTTGGTTGAAGGACATTAACAATTTGCTAGATAAGTACTCAAATGAGTCATTGCCCAGGACTTGTGTGGAGGTCATTCTCCATTGTGTACACGCCACAGTATATCAAGGCCACACAATGCAGCTAAATGCCATGGTCATCACACAGTTTAACTGTTGTTCACACACCAAGTGATGTATAAGTGAGTTATTATGATCACAATCAGGGCCAAAACACCTGTACGACTGTTGTACAAAAATATATATAAAAGATGCATTCAGTGTGATTAGGGCGACGCTGTTATTGCATGCTAGACGACATTACATTAAAGTTACATCTACATGTAGACACTTTACCTATTTCATACTGGGTTTATACTAACATCGTGCATCGTACTTACATTCCGTTAGTTCCGTAGCTATGGTAGAACACTCCCACTGAGATCCCCACAATCACCAGCGGCACCCCTAGGGACATCAAGTGTATATTACATTCAACCTTTTAGGATATACATAATTCCAAAATATCATAGATTACACATTGTGTTAATACCAGTTCACCTATCACGCTGTACTATAAGGAAACTCACCCCGAAGACCCGGGTTCGAATCCCCACATGGGTACAATGTGTGAAGCCCATTTCTGGTGTCCCCCGCCGTGATGTTGCTGGAATATTGCTAAAATCGGCATAAAACCAAACTCAGTCAGTCAGTCAGTATAAGGAAACTAGAGTGATGCAACAAAAAACGTATCTCTAGACTGAATAATTGGCGACTTCAGCTTTCCATTGTGACAAGCAATATGCTAGCAGCTGCAGAATTCGGTTTGTATGTTTCACATTTTTTAGGAATAATCGAGAATAATGTAATTGTAGTGTTGCTTGATCAGCGTTAAACCACTGAAACCGTTGGTAAAGCATTAACACGTGTTATAGTAGTCTAGTGGAGGAGTCAAATTTGAAGCAATGATGTTCCATGTAATTCCTATTTTAACATGTACAGCGTGCATTTGCCTTGCCTTTGCATGTGTTTGTGACGGGTTCTTCCGATGGGCAGTATGCGTCCATATGTTCGCGACCACCTAGTATCATCGCTGTTTAACACTAATTCATAAACACACGCTTCTGATTTTTAAAGGGTTTTGCCGTTCGTTTTTGCTGTTTGAGTTAGCCCCTATAGAGGGCACAGGGCGGGAACGTTGGGAACTTCGTTATGTACGGAACATACCCCATCCAATGGCGAAATATTTCCTGATATGACTGTCGCGCTTGAAGACCTTGACGAGCGCCACGTAGAGATTGATGCCTTCCACCAGCATCCAGCAGAACATGGCGGTCAGAAAGTAGTGCAGCAGGATGGCCACCGTCTTGCACGCCCACTGCAGATAGAGAAAACTGTTACTGTTACACAGAAGGTAGGCGAGACCCAGTCAGGACTACACTGGTTCCACAGTTGGTTTGCACTTTTATTCACCAGACACATGGTAAATAAGTACGAATGTAAACAACCATGAGTGAGTGAGTGAGTTTGGTTTTATGCCGCTTTTAGCAATATTCCAGCAATATCACGACGGGGGACACCAGAAATAGGCTTCACACATAGTGCCCATGTGGGGAATCGAACCCGGGTCTTCAGCGTGACGAGCAAACGCCTTATCCACTAGGATACCCCACCGCCCTAAACAACCATGAAGACATGTAACAACTAAAACATAACTGACATACATGTAAATTTCTGGTGTTACATTTTGAGACTGCAATTGTATTTAACAAATGAACTTTCTTTCATTTGATGCTGAGGAGCAATCGACCCCGTCGCCCCGTTTAAGGTAGATAGGATCCTAGTCTAAACTGTTCCACACCAAGCTAATGAGTTCTACTGCAGTAATATGGGGGAGGATACCAGGAACCAATCAGCCAAAGCAGTCGAAGCGCCACGATTGTCATAATTAATATAACGTTCACAGTTAACAATATCTATGAATATCTACAAGTACGTATACTGAGATTAATGATATACTAAGCAGCAAAAGAAACGTCAGTTCTTGGACATTTCCTTCGCAGAAACGGATAACTGTAAACTCATTTAATGTTTTGATTGTATATTTTTGACAACATCTCCAACTTTACTTGAGCAAAAACATTCCTTCCCAACCTCAGAATGGAACCCAGGAAATAGTCTCAAAAACGCAACCTGATCTCGGAGATGGTACGGTGTTCTCCATGTTTTTCATGCAGCTCATGCTGCACGTGCTGTTCACAAGGACCAGCCCTATAAAATGCACCCCCAAACCTGGTTGAAACATTCACATTACAACGTCAGCAGGATGCCGCGACTCACGACAGCTCAGAGGAACCAGGCGCTAGGAAGACTTGAAGCTGGCCACACAGCACAAGCCGTTGCCAATCACTTCCAGGTCAACGTTCGGACCATCTACAGGCTGCAGCAACGTTTCCTGGCCACCAACACCACAAATGATCACCCCCGTACTGGCAGACCAAGGGTGACCACAAGACGACAAGACCGCCATGTTGTCAGTGTTGTGCGACAGCATGTACAGAATCCCTTCCATGCAGGCATCCGAAACAGCACGCCAGACAGTGGGAACACACGGAAGACCAATCAATACTGATACAGTACGCCGACGTCTGAACAGCGGGAACCTCCATTGCCGTAGACCTTACCGTGGACCTATCCTCACCCCTCGTCATCAGCGTGAACGTCTACAGTTTGCCCTACAACACCAAAACTGGCGATGCAGGCAATGGAGAACTGTTCTGTTCACAGATGAGAGTCGGTACTGCGTATCAACTGCAGATGGCAGAACAAGAATATGGCGACGACGTGGCCAGCGTTACTCAGACCAATGTGTTATGGAAAGAGACTCATGGGGAGGTGCAAGCATCATGGTATGGGGTGGAATAGGCCTGAACCAGAGAGTGGGTCCTGTGGTGTTCCAGAACCTTGGTCCAGGGAGAGGAGGCGGCATCACAGCGGTGCGCTACATCGACCAAGCTCTCAGACCCCACTTCATACCACATTTCGCACGTCACCGGAACAACATTTTCCAGCATGATAACGCCCGGGCCCATACTTCCTACAGCAGAACGGTGTCAACATTATGCAGTGGCCAGCCCTTAGTCCTGATTTAAACCCAATTGAACATCTTTGGGATGAACTTCAGAGGAGACTGAATAATGTCATACCAAGGCCGAACACAGCCGATTTATTGCGCCAGGCCTTTCTCAGAGTGTGGTTCCAGGTGCCAATGGCCTTCATCAATCGATTGGTGCACTCCATGCATAGACGCTGTGCTGCAGTTATTGCCGCTCGTGGTGGTCACACTAGATACTGAAGTCAAGAGTCTGAATGGACTGCAAACGTTCACGTAATGTCTTGAAACTGTGCTGAGTTATTCATTGATGTGTCAGGATATTGTACACAAAAAATGTTTTTGATCCGCATATTATGCCCATTTCTGTAATGATTTGATTACAGTGCCTTTCTAATTTTGAATTCGTACTGACGTTGTTTTTGCTGCTGAGTATATATAGGTATGTTCTTACTGTAGGCGTGGCGCTGCTCTCCGTGCGGCTGAACCCGATCAGGAACACAGTCTGGACACAGATAATACACGCTGCTAACTGTTCATGGATGCGCACTCGGTCACTGCGCAGTCTGAAATAATATATTAACGAAACAATATGAGCATTAGAAGGTGGACACGTTCTATAGCGTTTTAAAATGTCTGGCGTTATGGTTGATATTAGGTAAAACAGGCACACGTGATGTAACAGCAATTGCAACGTTACCGGAAGTACTCGAAGACGATGATGGTGGCGAGACAGCCGAGGATGGAGAGGCTGCCGCCGATGTAGGAGATGTAGGATAATACCTGGCTGTTTCTGTCGTCCAAATGCTCCTGCAACAGGTAAGTAAGCTATACATCAAAATCGTTAATCCGGTCGCAACCGTTCCTTGTGATGTCATTTTCAGTGTCCAATTCATAATAATGTCATCACTATTTTGTCCATGGAATCTCATTTTGTAATAATCTGGACTGATTATTTTCTGGGGTTGTGGTTTTACAGACAAAGAAAACTATCTTAGCCAGAATTTATCTTACAAAGTGAAAGGCAAGAACGTGCCGACAGAAACACATACATCAGTCAAGATGCTGTCGAAATCTTTCACCATCATGGTTTCATTCTAGATTCACACAATACATCTGCACAATGAGACAAACTTCACCGCTTGGGAGATGTGTCAGCGCCACCTACCGAGGTTCCATACACGTCCATCAGAATGGCGAAATTTGTCAGGTGGGAGCACACACAGGTCACGTGACTTCCGTTAATGCTCTTCAGTTGACACCCATCTTGAGACCATCGGTTTTTGTCAGACCTGTTACGGTTTCAAATCAGAGCTAGAATACAGCTTTCTTAAATAACATCTATTGTATAATAACTTGAGTCATAATGAAGACTAAGATTTGTCCCCATATGGATACTGGGTTAGAACAGATCCATGCCATCTACCCATGCTGGTCGTAATAGGTAGTCAAATGGATCGAGTGGTCGGACTTATGAGAGAGTGAGTGAGTTAAGTTTTACAATATTCCAGCTATATGGTGGCGGTCTGTAAATAATCGAGTCTGGACCAGATAATCCAGTGATCAACAGCATGAGCATCGATCTGCGCAATTGGGAACCGATGACATGTGCCAACCAAGTCAGCGAGCCTGACCACCCGATCCCGTTAGTCGCCTTTTACGACAAGCATAGTCGCCTTTTATGACAAGAATGGGTTGCTGAAAACATATTCTACCCCGGATCTTCACGGGTCTCGGACTTATGAACTTGGCTGATTGCGTGTCAGCTTTCCCCGCAAAAAACAACAACAAACACAGAAAACAAAAACAACAAAAATCAAACAATACAACAAACAAACAAACATACAAAACGAAACAAAACAAACCAGAACAAAACCCAACAAAAAGCAATAAGAAACTTCCAAGCAATAGCGAACACAGGTGTAACAAGGAGATCAACATCGTAATGAGTATTACTGTGTCCGAATTGTGCAGTTTCAGTCATGGAAGGTGTTCATGGCCGACAACACAGGGAATATTGAGGATGGAAGTTCATGATCCAAACGAAAACATATACTATCCCCCAAAAAGAAACGCATAGACCAGAAATCTGTTGCGAAAATGTTGCATTTTCAAACATGTATAACTACGTCCACAAATAGACTTTTGTACGTGAATTTTAACATCAGTTTAGAGGAAGCAAATGTTTATACAACCAAGTGGATAATTTTAGATAACGGAGACGTTGAGCGGGATGGTGACGACGTAGCACGGTCGCGACGTTGGGTCTCCTGGCTCTCAGTCCAATCTCCCTCAACCTGTTCCCTACAGTTTGACCGGATATCCTCCGAAGTCCAGGCACCCTGGCTGCTGTGCTCTCATCCGTGGCAGTACGATCACGCAAATGTAGTACCCGGATGTACCGATATTGGGTTGCAGTGGTGACTCGAGGTCTGCCTGTACGGGGACGGTCATTTGTTACATCTGTTTGGCTGTAACGAGCTGCAGGCCGTGATATCGTGCTCAGACTAACATTCAGACGCCTGGCAACAGAAGATTAATAGTCTGCAGCGTGCATTCTTTCAATGGCGATGTTCCTTGTCGCAGCGCCAAGACGTGGCGTAGTGATTTGCCCTTGAAACTCCCTCAAAACGAATGCCGATTTCCGAAAGTAATCTGGATTTTTATAGCCAGACAGTGCATGCTTTTTGCTGCACAATTTCAACTGGAAGATGATTTCTGTTGGGTTGTGGCAATGCGTTTTTAATCCTTGTAAGAAATCTCATCAAAATCAACATTTGCAGATAAAGTCGATTTTTGACTTGTGCAATTGTGTAAAATCATGTTATAAACACATTTGTTACATATTTTGACGATTGTTTGAACACAATAGGTAATTAATAGATTTTAAACAATACCAAACGCCTATGCGTTTCTTTTTTTGGGATAGTATATATATATCGTTTGGCTTGACACGCTGGGTTTCCTGAACAAAGCATGTTGTGATAGAAATACATTAATCGGCGCCTCCCTTATAATATTTTTATTTCGAAGCACTAAACATATTCTGTCATGACCTATTCTATCCTTCATGCCCAGTACATAAAATTAATGGTCCCTGTATCATCTTTAAAGATGCAGATCCAAGTGACAAACTAACATCCCGACACAACAGATGATAAGCCGTGTTGACGTCGTATACAAGGTTGACGTCTCTGCAGCAAAGTTACTGTGTGTGAATATATATACTGAACAACAAAAGTTTAGCACATTTTTTGGAAATTGTATTTAATTTTCTACAAGTAACACTTGATGCTATAGTTCATTATGCATAGAAATAGAGTGACCATTTGACAGCACAATGGAAGTGTCAAAAGACGTGTTCAATCCAGGACGTCCAGCTGACGTTACACAATTTAGGGTAGGGGTAAAACGTTCCAAATGACAAAAACGAGTTAATGGCTTGCCGCAGCTTGCTTGCCGTGTACCCGTAGCTTGCCGCAGCTCGTTGGCCAGACGTGGGGCCCTTGTTAACCTGTGTCGTCATGATGACGTCACAATGTGGCGGTCTTCCCGTGGGGCGGTAGAACGAGGCCTTCCTGACCTTGGTCGGTCTCTAACTTGGCCAGTTTGTTGGACCCGTTGCAGCAGACGAATAATTGTGTTGTAATGCACTTGGAAGTGCCTGGCGATGTCTCTTACATGCCGGTCAGCACGTAGTCGTCCGAGGACTTCATTGCGTTGATTTTCTGGCATTCCAGGCCGACGACCCATGCTTCAAACTGAACAATTCTTTGCGGTTTCTGTACACTGATACTCCAGTGTGTCATGTCAACCATTTTATACACCCCAGTTTGCATGATTATTCTGCCGATGGGCATAAACTCGATATGCACGTGCACAATCCTGTTTTTTTACAACGGTCCAACAATCGAGTAAAGTTTGATGGCACTCAAGTGTGTCATCATGTGTTCACGTTTGGGCAAAATTTCAGTATTTTGTCTCATATGATTCTTTTGTATATAAATATTACCAAAATGTGCTAAACTTTTGTTGTTCAGTATATATTACCGCCCACACTAGATTTGCTATGTAAAACATTAATATGTTTATACCACTGATTTCCATCGATCGGGACAAAGGCTCTGCTGGTCCAGTCAGATGGGAAGGACTCACCTGGACTAATGTATATGGATATACTTACACAGCTGACATGTTCATGAAGACACAGTACTCAGTCAGGTTATCCCTCAGTGTGGTGTTCTGGATCAGAGAAACTAAATTCAATGTCAAGGACATTGGTTGGACGGCTATAGTTTCAGGCAATTCGCTGGAGTGAGTGAGTGAGTTTAGTTTTACACCGCACTCAGCAATATTCCAGCTATATCGCGGCGGTCTGAGCCTGACCACCCGATCCCGTTAGTCGCCTCTTAAGACAAGCAGAGTCGCCTTTTGTGGCAAGCATGGGTTGCTGAAGACCTATTCTACCCCCTGATCTTCACGGGTCGCAATTCGTTGGATCAAACAAATAATCTAAAGTAGTGAATGGGTCCTTGGTATTTGATATGACGTTTTGTATTACTTGATTTATACACTGACATCAACTCCCTGTGTGCTTCTTGGCAACTGCATTACGGCACCTTGGGCGTGGTTTGCCATGACCTCTAAGGCGCACACTTCACTGGGCAGAAGCGTCTGCATCTCTTTCGTCTTCCCGTCCAAAACAGCTTCTCCTTCCACAATAGTGATCGAAACTGGGACTTGTTTAACCAGGCCAATCGCTATAATTGGAACCTAAAAGGTCCTAACATGACCCTGACCTTTAGACTGAAGGTGATGACGACGGGTTGATCCAGCGACCTGAAGGAGCTTTCTGGCACCTCGAGGACCCGACCGGATATGACGTCAGAGTTGACCACGCCCACTGTACCCGGCTCCGAACTGACGTAGAAACAACGCCTGTACATTGCACCTATTATATCGTTTGTATATAACAGAGAGCAGTAAATACCATCTATAGCAGAAAATATTATTCAAGGAGATAAAATATATAGACTGTGAAAAATCGGTGCCTCGTGATCATTTGTGTCTCGATGCATGTATGGTATGACAAGATTACCAGATTTGGAACTATGGAAAAAAATATAGTTATACAATGTGATAGTACTTTGACGGTATTTCTAGGCTTACTAATCGATGTTGTTATGTACAAAATTTATGTTTGTCTGAAACTCCTATCGTACTGAAGGCACGGATCCAGTCTAATGCGCAGACATACCCTGTACGGCGCGTCAGAAACATTTCTGGGTTCGAGTCCCAGATTTGTAATGATTATATATCTAAGCTTTCTAGGCACCAAACCTATGCGTGGGTTTCATCAGAGAGACTTCTGAGTCCTGGATCACTATAGGCCTGAATCATATAGGGTTACGGGATGGGGCTCACATTAAAGGGGGACCTACCCATTGTGACGGTCTTCCTTAAGCGACAGCAGCGTAGCCATGGACCGGAACTTGGCGTAGTAGATGTTGAAAGACGAACCTGAAACAGCGGACGTTACACATTCTGGCAATTCTAAGCAAAACAAATCAAAGACTTGAGTTAGTTGAATATTCTTTTTGAATAATCTTTGCTGATTTCATTTTATCAATTTTTGTGAATTACATACGTTCATCTCGAATGTACTGACCGTCGGTTTGTCTGGAAGCAATGTCTGCCACGGTGGAGGGCAGTTCGATATAACTGGAGGCCGCAGAGCCCGTAAACGCCGGAAGGTGAGTCACGTTGACCCCTTTCTGGACACTGGTCACGCGGAACTCTGTAAAAAGATGGAGTGAACAGGTCATTACAAACACAGGCCCCACAAGTGAGTGAGTGAGTGAGCAAATGAACTTAATATCAATTATGTGGCGTCATCTTAAGGTTTCTTCTCATTGCCGTTGCGTGTTTCCAGTGAAACGCAAATGTGCTTATTGACCTTTTGAACATCAAGGTCGTTTTATAAAATGAACTCTCTTCAGCATGAGTGAGGGAAACTTTTAAGATATCACCGTGGGATCACAGTTATGACGGGAATAATGCATCATTTGATTTTGTTCACCAGATTGACCCGCAGGGTTCATCTGCCGACTTAAATCTACCATAGCCTTACTTCTGTTTGGTGACACTCGTTAAGTAAAAGCAACGTTCTATTTGATACATCGCATACGACGTAAAGAGATATCCGGAATCAAAAACAAAATGTTAAAAAAAAGAAAGAAAAATATAAAGTGTTACTGTATGTTGATTTCAAATCAGTCTGGAGACAAGTGTTTCACAAACATCACGTGACTTACCCAGGTTTCTAGATGTGACCACAAGAGGGTCACGTGAGGGGAAGGAGTTCACAGATCGACGTCGCCGAAGTTGATGCACTATCAAATTCTCAGCCAAAGCCTCTGTCGATTCCAGCAGTGACGTCATCTTCTCCCCTATCATACTCTGCATGAATAAAACAACTGAAGTGGATACAAGACATTATCGTGATGAGTGAGTGAGTGAGTTAGGTTTTACGCCGCTGTTTGTAATATTCCAGATATATCACGGCGGCGGACACTAGAAATGAGCTTCACACACTGTGCCCATGTAGGGAATCGAACCCGGGTCTTCGGCGTGACGAGCGAACGCTTTAACCACTAGGCTACCACACCGCCCCATTATCGTGATGACCATCGCTGGTCTGAAGAGCTTACTGAAATCGCAAAAATCTGGAACAGTACTTTTCGGTACCAGTGCGATCATACAGTACCGTGTGTAAGTATCATTGAAGACATAATGTGTATCAAAGGCGCTGGCTATGTTTACAAGGGAGGTGAAATGTGCGTGTGTTTCTTTGTGCCGGCATTTAATTGAACGATTCGGTAAGGGGACACCCTACGGCCATGCTGCAGTTTAACATGGATACCCCCATCAGACACAGTATCCTGTCTCTGACCCGGTTAGTCCTTGTTGTATCTCTTACTATCGTTCGACAGGCAGGGCAACAACAAGTACCACGTAGTAATGTTTTCTGTCTGGGTGGAGCCATGACCGTCACGTTATGTTTATTGTGTAATTGTTTTGAAAAGCCGAAGGTTGTAAGAACGTACCGTCTTTGTATTTCTCCATATGATGACCGTCTCTGGGTCCACGATGTTGTCCACTGCATCGCCATATAGCTGTGTACACAACAACATGCATCAGTAAAATATCTGACATGTATACTGAACAAATAAATTAAGGAAACACGAATTCTGGGATTTTTTTTATGAGTGAGTGAGTTCAGTGATATTCCAGCAATATCCCAGCGGGGGACACCAGAAATGGGCTTCTCACGTTGTACCCATGATGGGAATCGAACCCGGGTCTTCGGCGTGACGAGCCAACGCTTTAACCACTAGGCTACCCCACCCACCCTGACATTGATATCAGTCTGTAAATAATGAACTGTGGACAAGGACATTATGTTTTATTATGATGACGCACTATCAATCGAGTCACCAATGCTGACCAAGTGGCGGATTTTGTCGCCTCTTACGATAAAAAACGGGTTGCTTGGGTTCAATATTTCCCCGGCGGTGGGGTAGCCCAGTGGTTAAAGCGTTGGCTCGTCACGCCGAAGACCCGGGTTCGAATCCCCACATGGGTACAATGTGTGAAACCCATTTCTGGTGTCCGCCGCCGTGATATTGCTGGAATATTGCTAAAAGCGGCGTAAAACCAAACTCACTCACTCACTCACTATTTCCCCCTGAATCCATGGCCATGTCAGGCTAACTATAGCTGTATGAAACATATCGTGTGCTCTTGAACTTCTTTGAGTAGCATAAGGGCGTATGTTGAAAGAGCAAACTATTTAGAAGCAAAGAGAAATAGTTACATCAGCGATCGATTGCAGTTGGTCAGATATGTCTTGGGCAGTGGTAACAGCTATAGACACTATTCGGACGATCCCGGTCGCGAACACCAGGTCGCCCGGATATAGCTGCGCCCCCTGGTAATCTCTCACAACGGAAGTGGCGTTTGCCAGCTGTCTCGTGACGTCTTCAATGGTGGCGCTGTCGACTGTCCTGGAGGCTTGAATGGCCTTTGCCTGTAACAGACCACAGTTCAGTGAACAGAGACTTACACAGGAGCAGCATAGAGATACAGCACCAACCCTCGCCTGTACATTGTGAAACGAACGCTTCTGTGTACCCGCAAATGTTCTGGATATTCACTGGGCATCATTATTTTTCCTGATATAGCAAGTTTATAAATTCCCCGCACCTGGCATCTCAACAACACTTTAAATAATATTGAACCAGAAAGGGAGAAAAACCTTCTGGGTTTTGAAATCTGACCCGATTCCTCTCACATCAATTTCTCTGTTAATATTCACATTCTTCATTTACGTTGTGTTTGAACTGTATATGAAATAATAACATCTTTGCATACAAGTATATTCAGTGTGTATAACACTCACGAATAATAAAACACATATGAACAGTTTATTTCCCAGGTGCGATTTCTGATTCCCATGACTGAAAATCTGATTGGTTGCAACATATCGGATATCTGGAGTTGCGTCCCTTGGTATTCAGTGTTAAACACTTACTTCTGCCAGTTATCATCATGAACATGTGATACATTTCGTAGATGCGGCATGTGATTGATTCCAGCCAAATACCCGACCCCCTGTATTGTTACCAGTTCATTGATTTCCATGATTCGTGGACTGACGCACTCTCCCAGGTCCGGGCGAGTCCATCTTCCGCCGCTAGAGGATGAGGAGTCGTGGACGCACTTTCTTGTAGCATTACCTGGCGACATGAGAAAGATTTAACAACCGACGTTGAACTTAACTTGATAACGTAAAATCGTGGATCAGAGCGAGAGAACCAACCGGCACCTCCACTATTTCGCTGAGCAGAGCTGCTTTTATGAAACCGAAGGAATACAATTCCAGATAATGCTTGTGTTACCCGAAAAAGGCTGATGGCCTTAATGCAACACTTTGTCCAAATACGTCACAGTGGAGCCCCATTCTACACACGTCAGAAGGACATCCTAATTTCACCTTACGCACAAAGCAAACAATTGGAAAACTTAATGTTATGCTGTCCTGTGAATGCAGTGCATGAAATGTCTGATAAAGGGCACCTGTTATCTTTGTTAATTGTCAGTTGATTGACCGGTGTTCAATGACACGTTTGATGGTTTTTACAGTAATATCTGATTTATACTGCCGCTTGGTAGATCCCATTACAGGTCAGAACGACCTTTCGCCAACACAGAAGGATCTGTCCGATGATTAACAACTATCGACATGAGCCCGTCAGAAGGCAGCTTTTCTCGAGTTTTAAACTGGCGACTTCCATTCTAAACAAAATTTTGACGATTTGTCGATTCAAAATTTGCCAGTTTCTTCATATTTACCCTGGTTGATCGAACGAAACGTCTTTCTGACGTTACCTGTCATGGCACCATAGACTGGAGTTTGATGTCTTGGACTTTACTCAAGAGAGAATTCAACCACATTTTACTACCGATGCTTCATGGCCAGGCATATCAAACTGGGCGCGTTGTGTCTGTGTTGTGTCAGTACCAAGCTCTTCTCGGTGTATTCCTTACCAATTATCCCTGGTGGACATGGCACGACGTCCACACGGTCCGCGAGGGTGTCCTGCCACGTCAGTCCACTGCCGAAAGTCGTGTCCCGATCTTCGAGACAGTGGGCCGAGTCTAGTTGGAGACATTAAAGCAAACAATTTCGTGATGATTATATATTATAGTTTTTCTCAAATATAATCTACACAAAATCACTTATATATAACCACTTATAAATGTAATATATTAGAAAGGGCGGTGGGGTAGCCTAGTGGTTAAAGCGTTGGCTCGTCACGCCGAATACCCGGGTTCGATTCCCCACATGGGCACAATGTGTGAAGCCCATTTCTGGTGTCCCCTGCCGTGATATTGCTGGAATATTGCTAAAAGCGGCTTAAAAGCGGCATGAATAGCTTGAATTATACATACTGGGGATGTATCTTTGTCCAAATGTTGTTCATCTTTTGCCATTTACTTCCCTAAGCGAAAAGCGTGTTTATAGCCCACTTACCTACAGGAATAGAGCACTTGCGCCCTGTGTACTCAGATGTACATGCGCAACGGAAGCCATCTTTCTCCTGTATGCACGTGCCTCCATGGTAACACGGCTCCCAATCACAGTCTTCGAACGGAAGTTCACACTGGGTTCCTTTGTATCCTTTTGCGCATGTGCAAGAATATGTTCCAATCTCGTTTACACACGTACCGCCATTTTGACAAGGTGTTACTCCACACTCATTAATGTCCTTTTCGCAGAGCTGACCTGTATATCCGGTTACGCATGCGCACCGAAACTGACTTGTTTCATCCACACACGTTCCACCATTTTCGCAGGTAACGCCCATGCAAAGGTCGATGTCCGATTCGCAGTCTTTTCCAGTGTAACCGTCCAGGCAGCCACAGTGATAAGAACGGTCGACCTCAGTGCAGCTTCCATTGTGCTGACATGGAGTCGAGTAGCAGGGTTGGAGTGTGGACCTTGCCACCTCGCAATGCTTGCCCGCGTACTCCTCTTCACAGATACAGTTATACGCGCGCCCTGACAGGTCACGCGGGTCCAGGCATTCCATCAAGTTGTTTGTGCTGTTGTCACAGATATTTTTACAAGCTGGCCGACCTGCAAATGGAAGGGACTAAGTGAATGAAATTGTCCAATACGGCAAACATGAGCAAAGATTCAGGTCGCCGGAGTCGGTGTACTCGTGGTGCCAACATATTCTCATTTTAGGCAGCTCTTGAGTTTTAACGCGCAACCAAAATTCTTTATTCGCAGAGTGTATGTAGGCCATCGGCCCATAATACAAATATTAAATGTATGCAGTACACACTAAAAGGAAGTGATACTCGTTTTCTATATATCCATTGTCGCACATGTTACATAACATGTGATGTCTGGGCTTATCTGTGTATCTACCTGTCTCAATATTTAATTGATGGGAACCACAGCGAAACTGTGTGAGTGCAATGCGAAATTTACTAACACTAAGATATGGTTCCATAGATAGATTACACTTGAAAAGATAATATGAATAGGTTTTAGAACTTGATGATAACGAGTTATGCCATTCTTGATGGGATATATGCTGAGCCCTGATAATATATTCAGACAGGAAGGAATTTAAGCTACTAATATACTGTCTTTCCCATATATATCAAAATCCCATATTGTAAAGTAATAACTTAAGTTTTGATACCCAATTTGTTTTTCCATGGCAAGCATCTTACAATAATAAGTTATAGCACTTTATGGGCAAACGAGATACTGGCATATTCAACAGTTTATGCCAATATTTAATACAACGTTTGTAAGCATAAACATAAACAGGGTATCTGCCACACTCACCCCGAACGATGTGATTAGGGGTTGATATTTTGACACACAGCAGATATTTACAAGCCAGAGTTTGAACTTTCTCGATCGGTGAACTAATATCACAATCCAACCCCCAGACTTCAGCCCCATAGACTAGGATTTGTAACACTTTTGTATAAAAAATCCTGAAAAAAATGTCACCGCGAATAGGTTTTTTGCTTCGATAGTGATCTAATAATACTATAGAGGGGCCTTTTAGATTGTAGAATGGAATTACATCAAAATTGTATCATTGTATCAAAATGTTTATGCCACGACGAGCTTTGAGAAAGAAGAACACCCAAGTACTTATACCATGGGACACAATCTATTCTCATGCCACTCAAAAAAACATTTTTCATATTAAGAGAGCATACCTCCATTTCTAAAGACAACAATTTTGGATTTATCTAGATTAACGGAAAGGTCATACTCGATACAATACTTTTCCAAAACATTAAGACACTTTTGTAGGCCACAGATAGTATCGGAGAGGAGTACTACGTCGTCAGCGAACAGCAAGAGAAATACTTGTGTTGGTTCTGGATGCATCTGTATACCCAGAAGTACTCCAGGTGTATGATCGCGGTGTGTGAATAATCGCACCTGGACCAGACAATCCAGTGATTGATTTCATAAGCGACGACCTACGCAATTGGGATCCGATGACATGCATCCACAGTCATTGAGCCTCATCACCCAATCGTGATAGTTTCCTCTTACGACAAACCTGAGATGAAGAGGACTCATAACCCGCATCTTCGCGGGTTCAAACAGCTACTACGATTGTTTCGAAAACGGTAATTCTTAGAGGTCCTTTGAGAGAGTTTAACACCGAAGATAAGCGCATTCAAAATGTGCGGTTGTTTGTTTCTTCTAAACGTATGCAAGTTATACAATACCATCTTTATGTGATACCATGGCATGGCTTGCATGGATTTCCCACTCGTAAACAAAATACTGACTCTGGAATGATCAATCCTTGTTCTATCCCATAATGCCGGGCGCTAAAGGGTAACAAAAAGTACAATCTTGAGTGTTGACTAACATCTAGTCTAAAATTCTAGACTTGCATGGACTTTCTTGGATATATGTGCTTCAGGGTCATGACAGGTATGACACACTATCGTTTCTCGTGTTTCCCAGGTTCCCTCTCGGGTATCCTGTCACTCACCCGACTTGTAGATGACCTGCAGTCTGCCCACCCAGGGGTTAGTGTCGGTGCTGGCGTTGTACACCAGGGTGATGTTCCCGGGGGAGAAGAGTGCGTAGTTAGACAGACACAGCTCCTGGTTCCACACCTCGTTCCTCTCGTTGATGGCCTGTGTGCAGGGGGCACCATATAACTTATTGTCAGTGAGTTATGAAGTTGATGCATGAGTGATTGGTTGGACATTTGTTATGTTTGGGGTTACACTTTCTTGAATATTCGGCTTCAAACACAAAACAAACGAATCTCATACTCCCACCAATCATGATTGCACAATGCCATTTAGGAAGTGGTCAAATGTAACATATGTTATGTTTGGGATTACACTTTCTTAGTAAAGTACAAATTCTAGTACTTTTTTTGAGTTGAGCCCCATCCGGGATTCGAACCCACACCCTCTGAGTAATTGCCAGCACACAAAGTCAGCCGCCTAAACCGCTCAGCCACCGCGACTTCCGCACAGACTCTGAGGGTGTGGGTTCGAATCCGGATGGGCCTTAACCCAAAAAATTACTCATGTGTAATCATGATTGGTGGGAGTATGAGATTCGTTTGTTTTGTGTTTGAAGCCGAATATTCCAGTCACCTCTTACTACAAATATGGGTTGATGAAAACCAATTCTAACCCGGATTTTCACGGGTCGACAGATAAAGAAGGCGTGCTGGTGGATTTCTCAGAGAAAAGTTATTACCTACCGTTACAGGTGATTCCCCGCACCAAGGCAGGGACCCGTTGAATGCAATCCCACGTACAATGGTAATGACATTTTGTTTAGGCAAAATCTTCCACTTGAATATCTGGTCACGGGGCGGGTAGTCTGGATAACCGGGGGTTTCTATGATGGTGTCTCCAGTGATATCGTCGCTTGGAACACCTGTTGAACAGTTACTTCCCTTACTGCTCCAGGATGTGCTATGACATTCGCTTTTTGACAACAACATTTATTCCTTACAGAGTTGATTATTGACGATTATTGATCGAAGACGGTTCATGTGGTTCGAATAAACTGTTACTAAGTTCAGACATATGTCCTTTGATTTGAGCGACAAGTCAATGAAAAACGATCATAACAGTTAGTCTTTGACATAGACCGGAACATATTTTTGAAAAGACTTGTTGTACATTGGCCATAACCCTAGGCCGTCTTGGGACTTTTACCACAACTTTTCTTTGATAAACATTTACCTGTTTATTAACAAATTAAGTGCTTGAAAACAATGACTGCCCAAATCCCATCTGTACCCCTGTTTTTACGGCAAAATGCTAAACTCCCTTGTTGATCTAACGTTGTATTTATTATCCTTCCGTGACATTCGCGAGGTGTTGTGATCTTGGTACGAATCTCGACATACTGTGTGTGATCCGCAATACCTGTATACTGGAGGCTGAATCCTGGTGGTTGTCCACTCTCGTCCGTCACGAAGTTTATGGTCACCTCGTTCGAGTTGGACAACAGTTCGTCAATACTCTGCTTTCCGCAGCCTTGAAATAACACATCCGACCCGTCAGTTATCTGAAAAAATAATTATATGTGTTTCCGCACTAATTCTCTCGCGCATACTAATGTCTTTTGGTTTAGTTTGGTCGTTGTTTATCGCCACACTCAGCAATATTCCAGCCATATGGCGGCAGTCTGTAACAATCGAGTCTGGACCAGACAATCCAGTGATCAACAGCATGAGCATCGATCTACGCAGTTGGGAACCGATGACATGTGTCAACCAAGTCAGCGAGCCTGACCACCCGATCCCGTTAGTCGCCTCTTATGACAAGCATGGGTTGCTGAAGTCCAATACTAACCCGGATCTTCACGGGTTATCCAATGTCTACATGGACAGATTTTTGGGACAAGTAAATACATGTTTAGTGTATAAATATGAATGATTTAAAACACAAATAAGGAACTATACTACAAACTGAAAGAATGAATATTGCTTTATCTGAAACAGGAAAGACGAAATTGTATTTTGCCCATGCCATATCCAGATTATCAGGTTTCCGGATAAGCGAATCTCTGGTAAGTGTATAGGAATGATTTAGTATTGTTTTGCCAAGAAACGCTTTGCTTTTTGCTTGTTTTTGGGGTTACTTAAGAAATCACAGTACTGTGTTGTTTACACGTGATATTACTACTTTTTTCTTTATTTCATTTCATCATAAAATCTGTTGTAGTGATTATCACGGGAAGCTCGATATAACGCTATGCCTACCCGGACGTAGTCGGTGCACGTGTTTCTGCTGTCTCTGGGGTCGGCGTTGATGAACCTCCCGACCTCAAGTTCAAACTGGGTGAAGGTTATGTTGATTCTACTTCCGGAATTGACCCGGATGTTCCATGTGCAGTTCTGATAGTTCGGGTACATCCGCTTCTCAAACCCGGGACTGCGCACCACGCCGCTCCAGCGGATCAAGCTGATTGGCTGCTGGCCCAGGTCACAGTCTGCACGTGCAGCTGTGGGTAAACAACATAGGCCATGGTGTGTAAGTGCAAAACCACGGGTAAATACAACTATGGTCACAGGAAAGGTGAAAGATTCGTGGTTCATCTTTTGAAAAAAATAGTTTGAAAATCGGGGTCCATAGCAATTCATTTTATGGTTGAAGCAAAAATGTAAGGGACCTATCATAATATATGGCTAAGGTGTTGTTAATGATGATGATGTTTATGGAGAAGCATGTACAATGTGAATGAACCCCCTAAGTGAGTGAGTGAGTTGGGGTTTACACCGTTATTAGCAATATTCCAGCAATATCACGGCGGGGGGCCCATGTTGGGAATCGGCGTGATGAGCAAACGCTTAAACCACTAGGCTACCCCACCGCCCCGAACCCCCCTCATGTATGTACAAAGCAAGTGACCCACTGCATGTCATGTACAAAATCAATTGCCTCCCCCCTCTCCCATATTTTTTAAATATTGTTATGAAAAAAAAATCATCAACACCATTCCCTAGCCATAAATTATGAAAAGTCCTAAAGTCCTTTCTAAACGTTTCGTAACCTTTCTGACTATGTTGTAAATTCTTCAATGCGTTAACGTTAATAACGGCAAGGTATGTCACGGTAGTCACACGACGATTGTGTGCTGGTCGTTGTGACACATATATTGTAATATTTCTGTGCGACATTAAACAACATTCATTCGCTGACAGTATGGGAAATGTGTCCCAGTGATCAACAGGACACTAGATGTGGCTGTGCATGATTGTCATGACTGTGTATGATCCCTTTGTTGTCAGGATCCGCTGATTCGCCTCAGGTATGAATCTCGTATATTTGCGCTACATCAGTCCTCAAGTATATAAAACACATCCTACATCGTAGACCTTGGATCGTGCCCTTGAAGTCTCAGGTTAGAACAGGTCCCACGCTAACTGTGCTGGTCGTAAGTGGCACCTGTGCTGGAACCGGGTGGTCAGACTCGATAGGTTGATGCATATCATTGCATCATTCCAGTTGCTCAGATCAATGCTCAGATATTGACAGACCGCCGTCATGTAGCTAGAGCATTGTTGACTACAGCGTCAAACGACAAATATAACATAAAAAACCCAAAAATTCTTTGCTTTACAATTCAAGTGATCCATATCATTGGATCAACTATTAAAAAAACCCTGAAAAAATTAACAGTAGTTACCATCTATTCAAGTGTCTGGAAATGCTATACGGTTTTTGACGATACACACCGACATCTTTACACGTAAAGCACCAGTGCCCCGTTTCACAAAACTCTCGTAAGCATAAGATCTCGTAACTTTTCTCGTAGCATTCGTACTCCCTATGTTACAGTATAGGAGGTACGAATGCTACGAGAAAAGTTACGAGATCTTAGGCCCACGAGAGCTTTGTGAAACGGGGTCCTCACTGGAGTTTATAACGTTGATAAGCCTAATGATTATGTGTACTTCACTTTAAAGCACACACAACTCCTCCTCAATACACCATCTGCCTGTACAGTTACTCGTCTCTGTAACACCCGCGGCATTCAGTGGCGGTAATACTGTTGAAGGCTTCATCCAAAACAAACATGGAGGCCAAAAGGTTACATTTCAAAGCTTTTGAAACTAGACTGAGAAATATTTAGTAATTAATACAGAGCGGAGTTGGCGACCTCTGTGCTGGAGTCATAATTTATCACCGAGCTTGTGGAAACTGGGAGTAACTCGGCTTCAACTGATGACTGGTGTAGTATGGGATTCAGTGATGATGTATTAATGCCGATGTTAACGGTATAGCAAGCCCTGTACAACGTGATTCGGTGGCTGTGGTTGGTTGGTTGTTTAACGCCGCACTCAGCAATATTCCATCTATATGGCGGCGGTCTGTAAATAATCGAGTCTGGACCAGACAATCCAGTGATCAACAGCACAAGCATCGATGTACGCAACTGGTATACGATGACGTGTGTCAACCATATCAGCGAGCCTGACCACCCAATCCCGTCGGTGACTGTGAGCGTACGCTGAATGATGTGGTAAATAGAGAATCTCACCCAAGTGTCTACTGATATCAATTATATCAATACGAGTTGATAAATTTACAAATATCAGAGGCTTGCCGAGGATATTTTTACTTTTATCAACGAGTGTTGATATAATTGATATCAGTAGACACGAGGGTGAGATTCTATTTATCATAAAAAATCACTCTTCATTAGTTTTCAATGAAAAATATGTATCTCTGAACACGGCAGCGATATCATAGCATTGTGACGTCATCAAGTTCATGACGTCATAGCATTGTCAGGGCATTGTACAAAATCTACTGTCAAAACGATATCTCCTATGAGATAACGTATGATCTCACACAAACAATATCGCCTGTGGAACACAGTTTTGGATGATAATAAACTACATCGGAGGTCCAGTTGCGGTGGACAACACACAGACCATTCACTGCGTGACAGAGTTTACATAGAGGATTGTACAGCTGAAGCCTGGACCTGAAGCCTCGTCGTATTATATCGTTGTTATTATTCTAGCCTAATGTATTCGGATAAAGTACATGGTCGGTAACGGTGTGTTCTGATGTATATCCCCTTGATGTATATATCCTTAATGGTTTGTGAATACATCTTTGCATTATTACAAGTATGTATGTATCATGGCTTACTTCATTTTTCATTGGGCGCAATTGAATAAGTTTGGTAACGCCGTTGGTTGTCATGCCAAAAGCATGAGTTCGATTCCCCACAATTTCAAAATGAATTTCTGGTATTCACCACCAATATATCGTTAGAATATTCTTTAACAAGACGCATACGTCCTACTCACACAGTCACTTATTCTTTTCACGGTAAGATACCGGTTTTCAACATAGAATTATGGCGTTATCTTTAACCATTGTCAAACGTTATTCAAATACTGTTAAGCGTGTTAGATACAACGTTCCAGCACTGCAGATGCTGTTTAAAGCATACTGGTTATTGTATTGAAATTTCTTGATGCAGGACATGTGATCGTTCTTTGACGAATGTTCTGTTTTGAACCAACAACCTCATTTTGTGAGCGAGTGAATAAGTTGAGTTTTATGTCGCTCTTAGCAATATTCCAATCCATAGCTACAACAACCCGAGTCGTGTTTACGAATTGGTGTGTGTGTGATAGTACTGCACGTGTCGGGTCCAATACACATAACACTTCTGCCCCGCCCACTACGTAGAGTCTGACACACACAACAATACTGCCCCGCACAGTACTTCATACGTGTAACGTGGGGTCTAACACGCACAACAATACTGCCCCTCACAGTACTACATATCTGTAACGTCGAGTCTGACACACACAACAATACTGCCCCTCATACATATGTGTAACGTCGAGTCAATACTGCCCCTCACAGTACTACACAACAATACTGTCTGGACACCCCTCACGGTACTACAGTACTACATATGACACGTAACGTCGAGTCTGGCAGTCTGACACACACAACATATACTGCCCCTCACAGTACTACATATGTGTAACGTCGAGTCTGGCACACACAACAATACTGCCCGCACAGTACTACCCCGCACAGTACTACAATACTGCCCGCACAGTACTATATATGTAACGTGGGTTCTGACACGCACACACAACAATACTGCCCCTCGCAGTACACAGCACAGTACTACATATGTGTAACGTGGGGTCTGACACGCACACAATACTGCCCCGCACAGTACTACATATGTGTAACGTGGGGTCTGACACGCAGTACAATACTGCCCCGCACAGTACTACATATGTGTAACGTCGAGTCTGACACACACAACAATACTGCCCCTCACAGTACTACATATGTGTAACGTAGGGTCTGACACGCAGTACAATACTGCCCCGCACAGTACTACATATGTGTAACGTGGGGTCTGACACGCAGTACAATACTGCCCCGCACAGTACTACATATGTGTAACGTGGGGTCATATGTGTAACGTGGGGTCTGACACACAACAATACTGCCCCGCACAGTACTACACGTGTGTAACGTGGTGTCTGACACGCAGT